TTATCACTCACAGGCTCTACCTTCCACGAGACCCTAGAATACAAACACAATTCCACCAAGTTCTTTGCCACTTTATAATGTGCCTTTCCAATGGCACATTCCTCGCCACTTTATAATGTGCCTTTCCAATGGCACATTCCTCGTTTCCATCTGAAACGTCCTTAGAATGGCCTCTCCATCCTTCTTTCTACCTACATCGCTTTCAGGATTACTCAGATATTGCTGAAGGAAATGGAGGCTTTCTGTCCGCAGCTCTTCTCTTTTCTTTCTGAGAATTCACCACAATCAGGTCCATTCTCAGCAACCACACCTCTAAACTTCCAGCCTCTCTCCATCGTCCCGTTCTGAAGCCACTCTCTCATTTTTAGGTATTTGTTGGATCAGCTTCCCACTCCCACCCCCAATTTCTATCTTAGTCCGTTAGGACTATTAATAAAAATCCTATAGACTGTGCGGCCTACACATACTGTGCATTTATTTCTCACAGTGCTGGGACCTGGGAAGTTTAAGATCAAGGCACCAACAGATTCGGTGTCTAGCGAGGGCTCGCTTCCCGGTTCATAGAGGGCCATCTTTTTGCTCTGTCCTCCATAGTAGAGGAGTAAGGGCGCTCTCTGGGTCTCTGGTAAGAACATTAATTCTGCTCATAAACCAATCACCTCTAAGGCCATGCCTCCTCAGATCATCACATGGGARGTTAGACTTCAACAAGTGAGTTTGAGGAAGAACACAAACACTTTTGTGTTTTGCAGATAGCTTGCATTTTCCCCCAGCTCTTGGTTTAGACATCAAATGAGGGGACCAGAGTAGAAGGCAAAATTGTAAAGTTGGGGGGAGAAAAAAAAAGAATGGACTTTGGAGGTAGCCAGACCTGCATTCCAACTCCAGAATGTTACAGCTCTGTGGCCTTGGGCAACCAGATGTCTTGTGGACTCTGGACATTTAGGTATCTACCTCCTTGGCTTCTACTGAGATGCAGTGGGGCCCTGTAAAGTCCTTGCGCCACACCTAGCCCTATGCCAGACCAGGAGAAACGGGCATTTTTATAGATGGCTGCTTCCTCTGAATCTGGCCTCCTCATTTCCAGTTTGGGAAATTTCCTCTATGCTCGTTAGCTGGGAGATCAACTGGAAGGAGATTCAGGCTCCCTTGGAGAGCCACCTGTCTTCTCCATGTGTTGGTTTGAGATGCCCAACAGGAAGAAGGAATTTGATGAGATTCACCGAGGACAAATAAAAGTTGGAAAAAAGGCATCCAGCTAGTGATTAGAAAATGCTGTCAGGATAAGGACCCCTCAGCCACATCACCATATGCAATTTTTTTTTTTTATTGATTTCCTTTTAGCGTTGAACGCTGGCCACGTGCAAAGTACTAAGGGAGAATACAAAGACACAAAGGACTCACAGTATAGCTGGAGAGGCAATGACACRGCCCTTAAAAAGCTAAATGACGATACAAAGCTGTATGTAATAAAAAATAGGTCTCAGGGGAAGCATTTCTACACAACAGATGTGGGGTCGTGGATGGCTTGCATGAGTTTGTCCATGCAAAAGTTATTGTACCAGTTGTCTGRGAATGGATGTCAAGAGATATTTTAACTTTTAGAATTATAACCATAAGAGACCATTCAGTAGTAGCAATGCATCCAGATCTATTCTGTTTTTAAATTTTAATTTGTTATATATGTTAGCAGAATGCATTACAATTCATTTTGCACATATAGAGCACAAATTTTCATCTCTCTGGTTGTACCAGATCTAGTCTTGTGCCTTAAAGTGGATGATATTGGAAATCCCCAAGTGAAAAAGAAAAGATATGCATAGAGAAATTGGGTCCAAGAAATGGTTAATAGAAGAGAATCTCAATGGTCAAATACTGGGTGGGGTGGGGGGAACAAGAAGAAGCAGATGTGGAGGGTACAATAGAAAGAGGATGGAGAATAACGGGTCATTGAGGGAACTCAGGTATGCTAGGTTGAACAGCACCACCCAGTTCTGTGTCTTTCCTAGAACCTCAGCCTCTGACCTTTTTTTGTAAAGGAGGTGGTTGCAGATGAATTAGTGAAGATGAGGCCGTGCTGGGTGGAGTGGGCCCCTAACTCAATATGATTGGCGTCTCCATAAGAAGAGAAAACAGAGACACAAACACACACAGAGCAGATGTCAAGCACAGAAACACAGGGAGGGCCTGGGTGCTGACAGAGGCCTGGGYGTGAGAGGCATCTACAAGTGAAGGAATGCCAAGGGCTGCTGGCAGCATCCGCAGTGGAGGGAAAGGCACGGAACAGATTTTCCCCTCGAGTCCTCAGAGAGCGCACAGCCTGCCAACACCTCRATTTTAGATTTCTAGCCTCCAGGACTGTGAGGCGATAAATTTCTGCCGTTTTAAGGTTGTTAGTCCTTTGTTCTGACGGCCCTAGGAAGCTAATACATCAGGAATCTGGTCTCCTCAGACCCTCTGGTTTCTCCTGAAGAGTGACCTTGAGCCCTTCTAAACATCTCTGGTTTCTAGTCCTTTCTCCCTGTTTATATCTATCGTGACAGTCCAAGATTTCTGGCCTGCTCCCAAAATTGCCCTTTTCCCACCCACCACTCAGGAATCAGGTGGGGTGAGTGTGGACACTCTGCTTTGGTATCAGAAACTGGTGACATGGGTGGAAAATGTGCGTGTATGAGACAGTCACTAGGAAAACTGAGTCACTGCCCAGTGTGGTGGCACATGCCTATAATCCCAGCTGCTCAGGAGGCTGAGGCAGGAGGATGGCGAGTTCAAAGTCAGCCTCAGCAAAAGCGAGGTGCTAAGCAACTCAGTGAGACTCTGTCTCTAAATAAAATATAAAATAGTGCTGGGAATGTGGCTCCGTGGTCAAGTGTCCCTGAGTTAAGTCCCCAGTACCAAAAAAAAAAAAAAAAAAAAAAGAAGGAGGAGGAGGAGGAGGAGGAGGAGAAGGAGAAGAAGGAGAAGGAGAGAAAGAGAGGAAGGGAGGGAGGGAAAGAGGAAATGGACTCACTCTCCACTTCTGGTTCTCTGGGCACAGCCTTTGATCAGGTGCAGCTGCCACCAATGTCGTCCTGCAGAGCTGGACTCCTTGGCTGGTGAGGAGCAGATAGTTGTGTCCATGGCATGACCTGGGCAGAACGACATGGTGCCCTGCAGTGTTCYGGGGCCTCAGTTAGCTTTTAGCATCAACCTCAGGGGCATTTCTCTATAAATAGTATTTTGGTCACTTCGAAAGTTACYGAGTTTGATTAGTTCTGTGGCTTGCATTTGAGAGAAAACAGAGGCTTTCCTCGAGTCTTATAAAAGGCCCAGCCTGGTTCTTTCATGGAATTTCCCATTGTTTACAACCCTGATGGACTTAGTCTACCCCCTGGACCCTATTGAGCTCTGCCTGGAAATGCAAGTTCACAGCCAAAGCCTCGCTGATTCCCAGTGATCTACTGGTCACTGTCCTTAGAAGACACTGCTACTGCCAGTTACATCTGTTGATACAGAAATAGTTGGGTCTGGGTGGCTTAGATGTAGAGCAATGTATCCAATACAATAGCCACTGGCCACATGTAGCTATTTAAATTTAAATTATTTAACATTAATGTAGCTTAAATTTTATTTCATCCATTATACTAGCCACTTTTCAAGTACCCAGTGCCACCTGTGGCTAGTGGCTACCATATCAGAAAGTACAGMTATGGAAGATCTCTACCATCAGAAAATTCTCTGGAACAAATCTAGTCTAGGCTTTTCTAAGCCTTCCAACAAAAACTCCCTGCCTCCTTTTTTACTACACAAAATTTTCTTTGGTAAATATTAAGAATATGACAATTCCTTAGTAAGAGGAAAGTTGATTTTATTCACTTACTATTAGAGATCATAAAAAATATGGGTCTATTTCTAAAAGAGGAAAACTATTTATTGGTAGACCAATGTCTTCCCAGTGTCAATGTGGTTGGAAATCACCTAGGGATCTTGTTAAACTGTAGGTTCTGATTCAGCGGATTTGGGTGGGGACATATAATTCTGCTTCTGGTCTGAATGACAACCTTCTTGCTGTAGGAAGAGTCAGGAGTAAATAAACCTTGGGTGGCAAGACAAATGCTGAAGGAAATATTCTCATGGCCCATCACCAAAAGAGTAAGACCGGTCGCTGCTCCTTTAGTGTGAATGTGAATGACAGCCAYGCTGACTCACCAAGCAGAGCAGAGTTAGGGCCACACTCAGGAACCACACTGTCAGATTTGATTCTTGACACTTAGCTGTGTCTCCTGAGGCAAACGATCACTGGACCTAGGTTTCTCTGTCTGGAAAATGGAAATAATGCTAATACATATTTCACAGAGAAGTTGTAAAATGTAAAATGCAGATGTGATTCAGTTGCAGATGTAAAATGCTTAGAACAGTTTCTAACATCTCATAACACTGCATGTTAGGGCTAAACCGATCTGTGAATGCACCACTCTCTTGCTTCCAAACAAGTGAATGTGGTTTATTCAGGATGAGTCGAAGCATTGCTGACCAGTCGTATCACTCAACTCTGAACAGATGCTAATTTCTCCTTGGTGGATTCGGAAAAGAGCAAGAGGTATAGGGGACAATATTTTGATGAAAGGTTGGATTCACAAAACATCCAGGATTGTAGTGAAAGTGGGGAAAAAAAAAAAGAACCAAATGTTGGGCCCATGATTGACAGGAGTAGTCCAGGAAGGGCCAATCAATTGGTGGTGTTACATCTCTAGGAGACAGCAGCCACTTGGAGGACACCCCGATGACCCTCACTACCCACTGCCCTTTCACATGCCTCCTTTAAAGAAACTTTTTACTGTGATTACTGTTGTTGTACAAGAGTCTGCATTTGGAAAGTGTTCAAGTCTCATAGAATCTGTTGCTTAAATACATCCCTTCAATGTGTGGCACAAGTGATTTTTTAAGTTGTTGAACTAAATATGGTACAGGATTTTGCCAGGTATTGATCATTTTTTAAACCTTCTCTTTCCACCCCAAAGCAAAGAGCCCAGCCAGCAACGAGTAAAAAGATGGGGTTTCTCTTTCGATGAGATACTGAAGGACCAGGTGGGRCGGGACCAGTTCCTTCGATTCCTGGAGTCCGAATTCAGTTCAGAAAACCTCAGGTAAATCTCTCAAAAGTTTAAACTATCCCCCCAAAGGTGTGTGAAGGAATCGGCATAATCCGTCTCTCCACCTCTTTTTCTCAATTAATACATTATTAGGGTTCATGTTCAAATTCCAGCTAATCTGCCTTAGGTTGAAATAGAAAAGAGAAAATAAAACATGCAACTCTGTGATCACCCATAATAGCATCTCTACCAACAACAGCATTTTTTAGTTTCAATTTGATGACATTTGTTCAACTACCTGGAAACTTGTCTTTGATAATAATTAAATCCTCAAATGGATTTGGTGACACCATCGATTAAGGAAAACCACAGAATCATGGAATTTCAGAGTAGACAGGCAGCTCCGATGACCTCTTCCCCCGAACTTCCCATCCCAGGCCAAAGCCCTGAAACCCTGAAAAGTTAAATATAAGAAAGGAGTCAATGGGCTTGTTTTAGAATTTCAAAAAGCCAAAGTACATATCATTCAATAACGGGAGACATAACTACACAGTCTAATTGAAGCATGTTTTCCCCCCATTTGGGTGAGAATTCTATCAATTCCATGTGCTGTTTGCTTTGATCTGATGCCACTGAGAATATCTGATTATTTCTATTGGTCAATATCTAATACCTTGTGAGGGAAATGTGTTGATAATTCCTACTTAATAGAAGAAAAAAAATAAAACATCCAAAATATAGGGTCTAATGTGAGAGGAAGAAAAGGGCATGCATTAAAAGAAAGAGGGTTCTTCATCATGAAAAATTGGGGAAGTTTTTGTTTATCCAGCTTCTTATTATGTCAGATCAAAAATCAGAAAGACACCAATTACAGTGGCACATGCCTGTGATCCTAGCAGCTTGGAGGCTGAGGCAGGAGGCTGGCAAGTTCAAATTCAGCCTCAGCAAAAGCGAGACACTAAGCAACTCAGTGAGACTCCCTGTCTCTAAATCAAATACAAAATAGGGCTGGGGATGTGGCTCAGGGGTTGAGTGCCTGAGTTCAATCCCCAGTACCCACCCCACCAGGAAAAAAAAATCAGAAAGACTCATGGAAATGTGACTTATCTGAGATCCCTTAGTGATTTTAGCAAACTGGTGACTTCTCAGTGGATAAGATGGAAATTTCTCTCTCTCTCTCTCTCTCTCTCTCTCTCTCTCTCTCTCTCTCTTTCTTTTTCTTTTTCTGTCTCTTCTTCATACTAAGTTCTCTTTAATTAAAGGTTTATTTCTAATATTACAGTGCTATTTTTTGAAAAAAGGGTTTTATTAATTTTAAAATTTTTTTACTTGAGAGCTCAGAGCATATACTATGGGCAAAAGATTGTCCTGCCCGATGTCAATGTGCAAACWCCATGATGTTTATTTGAAGTTAGAGACCACTTCTGTCCCTTACATCAATCAGGTGACATTTATGACACATGTATGCCACAACAAGTCCCCCCAGAGCTTCTGTAGGGATGCAAGACAGCCAAGATGTGTGATCTTTGCCTGCAACGACCTTGTAGGTCCTTGATAAAAAAAAAAATTACAAGAAATGATTAAATCATTAAATGGATATAAATAAGTGTAAACTCTAAAACCATTTTTGCAAGTAAGTAAAGGAGAGAAGAATGGATGCAGACCAGGCGAGGCAAATCGTAAGCTAGACTTAAAGTACACACAGGATATCCACAGACAAAGAAGAGGCCGGGAAAATATTCTGTTAAACTGGGTGTTGGAAGTACCCACAGGTGGCAGTGGGATTGCCCACACTGTGACGTCCTGGGGGGGGTCAACAGATGCCACCCAGCCGTCTGTATGCTGTCTTTCCAGGCATCCCTGTGCCTGTTATGAACCAAAGAAGGGTGAGCACCTTATTTTCAGGTTATGACACAAGAGGGCCACCTACACCCTTACAGAGAGTTTGAAGAATGACCACAGGGTCCTGGTCATCATGAGGATCCCAAGAACATCTGCTTGCTTAGCTGTTGCCTTCTCCTGTGTGGAGCATTCATACTGAAAAGCCAAAGTATAGCCAGGGCCATGAATCAAATCAGGAGAGTTTCACCAAATATGCAGGACACTCAGGGCCCCGCGTGCACCAGGAGTGTGCCCCTGGCAGGGGTTCATGGCTTCCTCTGGCCATCACCACTTGTGCCTCTGCCAGCTCCCTCCTCCATGCCAGGAGAGCTACATTTAATCTTGGGTGAAAGAATGTGCGTGTGCATGTGGGATTCTGCTGGCCCCCAGCATGCATGCATAAATCCAGACTTAAAGAGGGTCGCCTCTGATCCACGGCAGGAAAGAGGATAAGGAAAATAGAAGAGCAGAGAGAAAAAGTATAGCCCAAGAGCTCTAAAATCCTCTCTGGTGGCCCAAATTCCTTTTTTATGATATTCAGCATAATTGGATACAGAGAGGAAAGCTCAGTTTTAAATCACACAACCTTAGGACCCTTTAGTCACTTGTCACAAAGCAGTTTTCTTCTCCTTCCTTCCATGTTCATTCCTTCAACCACGGATGCTGTCTTAGCACCTCCCATGACTTAGGACCCAAAGATTCAGAGCTGACCACGTTTTACCCCTTGCGTGGGTAACGCGACTTGGAGATACTGCCCATCCTTTGTGTGGGCTGTGCTGGGGGTTTCCCTTCTCCCCAGGACTGGTCAAGAGCCAGGTCCCTGGCATCTGAGCAGGCAAGGAAACAGAGGGACTGACCAGACCCAGCTGGACCCATCGCAAACGAAGTCCCCTCTTCCCCTCCATCTTCCTGGGCTCACTTAACATCTCTCAGCAGAAGATGCGCTTAGATCCTAACACTGACACTGACTGCACTTGGAGGGCCAGTTAAGTAGCCAAGTGTTGAATTTGTATCAGAATTTCGGAATGAGGAACAAAGGAACCCCAAAGTGTCACCTGGATCTTTTGAGGAAGGCGTGATGTGATGGAAAGTCCCTCTGATGATTTTCTTCTGGGCAAGTCTGTGAGATGAGCTGTCATCTCCAGATGACAAGAGAGGGGACATGGCCAGAGCACATTTTGCTGTGGCCATCTGTGGCGGGGACTGCCGCTTTTTCTCCTTTGCTAACCCACCCTGAGCTGAGTACACAACTCCATGTGCATAGGGTGGTCCCCTGGAGACAGCTGTCACCTAAGTGCCTTTGGACTGTATGTCGCTTCCCACCCACCAGGCAAGGTCCTCAAATCTCTGAAGAGGGGAGCTAGGGAGCGCCACTGAGTGGATGACCTACTCCTTCTCTAGATTCTAGAATGGGTGGCTCCTTGTCACCTGCCCCAGCCCCATTCTATATCCCTGTCACAAATTTTTTGTCCTCCCTGATTTGACACTCTTGCTGCTTTGGCAAGGCGTGAGTTAAAAAATCAAAACCTGCAGCAAAGAGCGTCCCCCGTACATTTTTTATGAGCTGTAACGTCTCCTGAGAGAGCGTGGTTGTTCTTCTAACCTGCAGATTGATGATCCTAGTTCCACACCGTGTCGGCTGAAGGGAGAAGCAATTAAAAGAGAGCACGGGGGGCTGCCATCTGCAGCCGTTACCCCAAGTCCTAGGAAGACCTCAGAAGGTTCACTAGGGCCAGCGGGATCCCCCACTAACCAAATGCATAAGTCAGAACCAAATGACTCCCACAGCACCTTGACCTCTGCAGCAGCTCAGCCAGTGCCCAGTGAGCACAGCTCAGCCTGGTGATGGGGTTGCCCATGTGGGCACCCCAGGATCTCACCCCAGCCAAGGAACTGAGCTGAAGTTTCATCCGTTGGTCTGAGTCCCTGGTTGACCAGCAGAGGGCACAGAAACACTTCCATCTGCCGCGGAGTTTGCTTTTCTCTGGGAACCAACCCCAAGCTGTGTTTTCCAACACACGAAAATTCTAGTTTGTAAAAAGATAGGGAAGCTGGAAACCGCGGGCTGCCAGACCGCCTGGCAGGAAGGAAAGGGATCAACCGCTCATGGTCCCTCTCGCCCCAGCCAGCCTCGGGGAGAAGATCCCTGCTCCTGGCCCGCAGCTARGGAGAAAGGAGGCCACCTGAGGCAGCCCCTGGACTGTCCCATCCGTGCACCGCGCGCGGCTTCGTCCCAGTGGTTTCTGAGCCCGACTGCCTCTCCCCCAAGGCTGTCCCCTCTCCCCCGCCTGCTGCGTTTATTTCTAAGCCATTGCCGTGGACTGAATGCCTGCACACGGATGGCTTCCCGCTGCTCTGGCGACTGGCAGGGACCGGAGGGGCCGAGGCAGGACAGGTGGTCTCCCTGATACCCTGGAGCCCTTGTGGCCTGCCAGTCATGACGGCCCCTGTGCTGGCAGCCGCGGGGGCTTAGTGAAGGATGGGTGGATTTGAGGCTGCTGCTGGCATTTGACTCCCTGCTGCGTCCTGGGAGGAGCGGTACCTGCAGGCTTTTGATAAGAGCCGCCGCTTCGCAAGCCTCAATGGGCCTCCGTTCGGCGGTGGATGTGCAGAGAGAAGCTTTTGTGGCTCTTTGCCGGGAGGTGGGGGGACATGTGGCCTGAGCGGGGAGCTGTGGGGTGGGAAGATGGCAAACACAGACCAAAGCCTGTTCTGAATTTCAAATTGCCACAAAGGTTCTTCGAAGCCATGACGGTAAACACATACGGGATGTCAGGATGCTGTTGTGACAGCATTTTCTCTGTCACCTGGGAGGGACAAGGCAGGTCATCTCCAAGGCAGACAGRAGGCTGGGCTGTGTCCCTGTGTATGCAGGCAGAGAAAACTGCTGCCTCGGGATGTCACCCCTGTGCCCTACCCCTCCCCTCCTCTTTACCCCCTCCTCTCTCTCTCTCCTCCCCCACCCTCGCTCCTCTGAACAGTCTGTTGTTTCTTCTTGTGCTTTTTTTTTTTTAAATTCATGGTCCTCTCTGATGGAGGGAGCCTTTATATATATATAATATTAAATTTGAGTCTGACATTTGGCATGACATCAGCTCCAGACCTTCCTTATACCCAGCTGAGTAGATGGCATTGATGTGGCTCCCACAGAATTCTCCACAAGGGACCCCGAGGCCTCAGGAACTACAGGGAGTCTGTGGGACTCAAGCTGCTGGGGTCCTCGGGGCCCTTCCAGCAGGGCTCCATTGCTCTTCCTCGCAGCAGACTGCAGCAAGGGACAGAGGTGACAGAAGGAGACATCCCACATGACATTGATGGAGGAGGCAGAAAATCACCCTGTGTCATCCATTTGTGTGAGAAACTGCAGAGCAGAAGGGGAGGGAGGGACRCTGACCCGGGGAGCGGCATGCAGCTAGGATTCATCCTGGAGGGGCTCTGGGAGGGGACTGGCTCTCCCCTGCTCCAGGCTGTGCTGGAGGCCTCCCTGGCTCGGACTTCAGTGAGTTGCCTGTGACCCTCCTCCCAGTCCTTTGAAAAGCTAACCCTGGGCCTTCTTCTTTAGCTCAGGGCTTCCAGCATTGCTCACCGGCCAGAGAAAACCTCTTAGGGCCTTTGCGGCCAGATGATCGTATTCACCTCCAGGTATCCCGGCTGCCCCTCACCTCATGGCAGACCTGAGAGGTGGACGGAGAGCCCTGAGGAAGCCCCAGGATGGGCCTGAGAAGTGGAAGAGATGGAGGAGTTCCAAGACCCACCTGAGCAATGGGCAGGTTAACACTCCTTGCAAAGCCCTCTGGACTCTGGGTAAGAGAACTATTGTTCTCCTCTCCCCTGGGAGCCAGAGGACCAGTGGCACCAAGAACCAGTGGCAGAAAGGAGAGCTGGTGTTGAAGGACAGGTGACAATAGATTGCATGGACAACAGCCTGGAAAGCTAAGCAGGCCACCCAAGTGGAAATGCCAAGGGTCAAAAGGGGCAGTGTTGAGCCTGTGGCAGCCGCTCCCACCCCCTCCTGTGCCCCCCACCCCGGGGAGCCTGAAAGCATTTCACAGTTAAGTCTACCTAGAAAGTTTTTCTGTGCCACATTTCCTACCACCCACTTTGTACCCGTTTCACAGATAAGAAAAGAGACACCTGGAAAGGTACAACAATTTAAGACAAAAGTATAACCTGAATAACAGAACTGTGCTTCCTTGCTGTTTTGCTGGTTGAGAGGCTATCTCCCTCCCTGACTTTCTCCTGCATCTTCAGGATCCATGAGGGAACCGTGAGGGTTTTCTTTTATGGAGATCATTCAAATCCTAAATGGCAAAACAGGACAAGAGCTGGAGCCCAGCATTCCCRGGGCATACACACACCCCTGCCCTTGTGGAAATGGGGCTGCATTACCCCAATATGCCACTGAGTGGCGCCTTTGGGCCACACACTTGACTCCTAAGCCATTTCTCTGAATAACAGAAAAATATGTTTAACCTTTTTTAAAAAAAAAAAAAGTACATCTTACTTTGGATGAAATTCGATGACAGATTGAATGCACTTTCCATCATGTGGTGGTTCAGCTTTTTTGTCCTCCCCTTTCATTTGGATTACGGGTGATATTCCCGTGACTGCGGAACTCACAGAGCATGGGTCCTGTCCTCCTATCTCATTGCTGGGGAAACTGGCCTGTCCCCTTCGCAAAGAGTGTGCTGCTCGGCACTGGGTCCACTGAGCGGCTGCCTTGGGAACCGTCCTTGGGACCTGGGAGCTGCTGCTCAGGAGTTGGCGCTGGTTGCTGCTGCTCTCAGCAGAAATGAGCTCACCCGCAGCACTGCCAACGCAACTCCCCTGCCCTGCTGAGGGATTATGGAGAGGCAAATGGAAGTGAGTAGGAGAGTGTTCTCTTTGGCACTCCTTGGAGAATCTTTGGCAGAGAGGTCGCCCATGTATGCCTCTTCTGCTTTGTTCCAGATGAGCCCCTCTTCAATCTAAAAGTTCTGTATTGAGTACCTACTGTATGCCAAGCACCATATTGAACGCTGGTGTGAACTGCTTAATTTCTCCATCTCTAACACAAATGGCTGGCTCACTCCAGCCCAGGTATTATGTATGATTTCAGGATTCTGCCTGCTCCTGTGATCTTTTCCTCATTTTGATGCCTCTAGTTGAACCCAATTATGGTCCTTGTGACCCATGTGGTGGCATCAGGGCCGGCTGGGAGATGCAACAGAATGAGTTTCATGCAACATCAGTTCTGAGACTGTCTCCATCAGGATCCGGATGGAACTATTTCTGCTTTCCCTCCAGGTTCTGGCTGGCTGTCCAAGATCTCAAGAAACAACCGCTACAGGATGTGGCCAAGAGGGTGGAAGAAATCTGGCAAGAGTTTCTGGCTCCAGGAGCCCCCAGTGCAATCAACCTGGATTCTCACAGCTATGAGATAACCAGCCAAAATGTCAAGGATGGAGGGAGATACACCTTTGAAGATGCCCAGGTTTGCTAGTCGACACCGATGGTTGTGCTCTAAGGTGTTCTGTTCTGTGGTCCACCTCACCACTAGGCACTTTGAACATAAGTCCATGGCTTTGTGGGTAGTGAGAATGTGGGAGTTTTGTTTTATGTAAGTCCCTCAACAGAAACCATTCCAGATAGGTGCACAACAAAATTCCAAAATTGTTTTCGGAGATGAATTATGTTATTACACAGAAATACACAGTGACAGATGTTCCTCAGCCTACAATGGGTGAGGTTACGTCCTGGTAAACCCCTCCCAAATTAAAATATTAATTGAAGTTGAAAATTGCATTCAATACAGCCTATCAGAGCTCAGCGTACACAATACATCATAGAGCATTGGCTTTCTTCCTCTCTAAGCCCATGGCTGACTGGGAGCTGTGGCCCGCTGCCACTGCCCATTGTCTCCAGAGAGGATTGTACGGCATATCTAACCCGGGAAGAGGTCCAAATTCCAAGTACAGCTTCTGCTGAATGCCGATCATTTATGCACTATTGTAAAGTCAAAAAAACAAAAAAAATATCCCAACTCAAAACACCATCCGTTGGGGACTGTCTGTACATGTTTATCTTTTCCAGGAAAATCTCGAAGTGTTTTATATAAGATCTGAAGTCTTGGAATAGGTCAGTGGTAGAATCTGCAAACCATAATGCAGCGTGAGTAAGGTGCGTCGTGAGCCGACAGGGCCCACGTCTGTCTAGCTGTGACGTTCACACTCAAAACCACCACGCTGCACGGCTTCCCTGGTGGTTTCCAACTATGCGGTTAGTGTTTTTTGAGCACCTCTCTACAGCAGGCCCCGAGCTCTGTGATGAGACAACATGAGAAACAGACCAAAGCCCCTGTCCTCAATAAGATCATGGGCTAATGAGGTAGAAGACCAGTAAACAGGCAGTTTGAACAGTGCAAGAAGGGGCCCAGAGGGGTGAACAGGACTAAAGCAAGCCCACAGGAGGGACTCCCAGCTTGCAGGGCACACCTAGGATGCTCGCAGATTTGGGTGGGGCTGGCGGAAGAAACAGAAACCACCAAAGCCACCTCAACAGCTGGCTTAACCTTGAAGGCTGGGAGGTGCCATTTCTAAAGATACCTATCAGCTCCGTTTCTCACTTCCTGCCCCAGAGACAGGGCTCGACCGTTGRCTGTTTCCTTGACGCCACTCATTTCTCTCACCTGTGGGGTCCCCAGAGGGAATTGGGGTGGTTTGCTCTCCTGCAGACATGGTTATCTGGTTTAGGAAACTCAGTCTTGTTGCACCCATATAAGTAATGACACGAAGACACAACCAGTGTCCCTGGTCATTGGCCCAGAACTTCAGATGGAAACACCTGCCGACCTGAACATCATACCAACCYTGTTCTCACCGTCAAATGCCTGTGCTGGGCAGATGTGATTCTCTGTCTCTATGAAATCATGAGTCCCCTGTGCCCTTTGAAGCTCTGAGGCAAAATATTTGAGCCAAGAGCACTCTTTTTTATTTCTGATATCTTTTTGTAGACTTATGTGTATATCCCAAGCACCAGATTGGCATGGCCCAGTAAGGAGGGTGATGGAGAGGTTCCATGGGGTTCTTGACATGGATGATCTAAACCACTAGGCTCAACTCTCCATTATTCGTGAATCATAGGAAGGGGGATACTGGTCAGAACCATGACATCCCCAGCCAGTGTCATCACTCTGGCCGTGACATGAGGAAGGATTTACCTTAATTTTTTATTTTCTTATTTTCTTATTTTATTTTGGAAACTTTTAGACAAATGGGAGAGTAGAAAGAGCAGAACCACAAACCCTTATGGGCCCTTATTCAGCCTCAAGTCTCATCAAGATGTGATGGATCGCCACACTTAGCTACTTTTTCCCCTGGACACTGACCCTTTGGTGTTACTATTATCACAATTCCCAAATCACAATTTAACAAGTGAGCCGTAATCTCTTGATATCACTAAACATCAGGTAAGTATTTGGACTTAACAGTAGTCTCATAAACACCTTTTTAAAAAAATCTTTCTTTAAAATCAGAATTCATACATTGCAGTAGATCAACATTTAATTTTTCTTTAATCTATGGGGTCCATTTATCTCTTTCCCTCCCTCTGCCGCTATGCAATGTATTTATGAAGGAATTGTACCCTTTGTCCTAGATTTTCACAGTGTGGATTTTTCTGACCACAGCCTGATGGTGCTATAGAACATGTTCTTCTATCATCTGTTATTTCCTATAAATCTGTTGCTTGCTTTAGATGTTAAATCAGATTAAGGTTTGATTTTTGTGGACAAAATTACTCTATGGATTGTGTAGTGTTCTCTCCTCAGGAGCACAGAATGTCTGGCTGTCTCTTTTTGTGTCTTTAGTGGCTACTGATGTTTATTGCTTTGATCCATTAATTAATTAGGGGTTACAAAATGGGGGTGTTCTCATATGTATCCTTCTTTCTTCACCTTTTAGGTGAAATGCTTTCAGGGGAAAAAAAACTTTTCTCAACTACTTCATTAACTAGGAGTGCAGTGCATATAATACACTGCACTGTGGTTAGTATTTTTTGAGCACCTCCTCTCTATACCAGGCCCCAAGCTCTGTGATGGAGAAATGTTTGAGTCTTTCCATTTATCTGCTAGTTTTCAACACAATGAGTAATGTATTATCTTCTGCCTTGTTACCAATCAGAGTTTTTTGTTCTGCTTTTAGTATCTTTGCAAATCATGAATTTAAGCCTATTGGATGTGTTTTCATCTCTTTTCTTTGTAATTTTTTTTTATTAATGCTTGGATTCTCCCATCTCTGGCCAGTTGGCTGTGGCTAATATGACCCTCATCGTCTTTGATGTCATCTAAATAGCTAAGAAACTAAGATGTTCCAGGCTCTGCCCTAGACCTGGAAGAAGTCATTTCTCTAAGGACTCCTCTTGGTGGGAAATGATTTTAGGAACCACAATCTGGACACAGGAGTGCTCATTGTTCCTGGGTTGTTCATCATTAATAGGCCTTTTTGAGTGGGTGGAGCTAAGTAGAAAATATATTACTATTGTTTGTAACAAAAGTTCATCAGGAGTTCATATTATGCTTTTGATTTAAATTTAGAACAAAAGGGCATTTTATTTAACCTCTTCTGTGTTAATCAGCCTTTTGTCATGGTGACAAAAATACCTGGCAAGAACAACTTAGTGGAAAAAAGTTGACTTTGGCTTGCAAATTCAGAGGTTCAGTCCATGGTCATCTGATTCCATTGCTCTGGGCTTGAGTGAGCAGAACATCATGGCAGAAGGGTGTGGCAGAGGAATCTGCTCAGCTCAGGCAGCCGGGAAGCAGARAAAGAGAAGATGGAACCAGATATAAAACAACAGAAGCATGCCCCCGTGATCCACTTCCTCGAGCCACACTCTGCCTACCTGCAGTTATCCCCAAGACAGTAGGTTAAAATTATTAATCTATTAGTGGATTAATTCACTGATTAGATTAATCTCTCATAATCTAATCATTTCGTCTCTGAACATTCCTGCAGTGTCTCACACATGAGTTTTGGGGGAACATCACATATCCAAACCATCACACCTTCTTACATTTGCGCCTCCTTTCTCTGTGCTGAGAATCTGGTTCTCAAAGACATCATGGATGATGGCTTATTACCCATTTTCTGTATCATACATTAGCCAGAGGAGTCTGGAAGCTGCATTGCCAATGTGGAACAGTTTATGGAAACCCTGTAATTTAGTCAACCAGTTCTCCTTCCTGGGACACTTACATTGTTTCTAACTCAAGAAAGATTTCATGGGAGAACTTGACAGTCAGCAAGCACATTATGTATGACTTGGCAAAGTTTTGAATACCCAGCCTTCATTACGACAGTGTTCTGCAATCTTTCGGGTACTTGCAAATACATTTTATCTTATTTCTAAAGCAATCTTGTGAGGTGGACCAGATATAAAGATCTATCACTCTGGATCTATTTTTCTCCATATCTGGGAAAAGCCGTCTCCCATGAACTCAAGTAAACACCCTCCTACAGCTAATTTTCAGCCTGTTCCCTGTTATTTCTTAAGGAGCAGAGTGACCTGAGGCAGGTTACATAAATTCCCTGGAGTCTTCCTTTCCTCACCTGTAGAAGACAGATATAGAAGAACCTATGCAGGTGTGAAATGGGGACCAGGGGAAATGGACCACGCCAACTACTAATAGTAACCAGCCCACAGTAAGACAGGGAAAATATTTACGACTTTATTTGCCATGAATAGTCTTTTAAAAATACTGTACTCATAAGATACTTGATGAAAAATTCAAATAATTGCAGGTAACATTAGCACCCAGAGAGAACCCCTATTTTGGTAAATAGCTATTCCTCAGCTTACAATGGGGGTGCATCCTGATAAACTCGTGATAAGTTAAAAAATATTACAAGCCCAAAAAAAGCATTTCATACACATCAGCTACCAAACCTCATAGCTTAGCAACCCAGCACACTGTAGAGTATCAGTTGTTTGTGATCACAAGGCTGATGTGGAGCTAAGGTTCACTGCCCAGTATTACAACACCGTCATACCACATGTAGCTAGTCTGAGAAAAGATCAAAACTCAAAGTTTAAAGTTTATAGTTTTCATATCACCATAAAGTAAAACAAGTTGTAAATTAAACCATCCATCCTAAGTTGGAGACCCATCTATATTTGCTTACTCAGTTTTTCTGTGTTAGTCTGCTCAGGCTGCTATAACAAAAATATCACAGACCGGATGACTTAAAACAGGAAACATTTACTTATCACTATTCTCAAGCCTGAGAAATCCAAGATGAAGTTTCCAGCAGATTTGTTTCCTGAGAAGGGTCCTCTTCCTATATTGCAGAAGGCCACCCTCTTGCTGTGTCCTCTTAATGGTAGTAAAAAGAAAGAACCCTGGTCTCTCTTCCTCCTTTTACAAAAACACTGATCCCATCATGGGGCCCCACCCTTAGGACTTTATCTAAACTTCATTACCTTCCAAAGGCCCCA